GCAAGAACAGCAATAATGACAATCAGTAATTGAGATAACTTTCAGAATTATTCAATATTTGGCAAAAAAACGATTTGACTTTTCTTGACAATGAGGAAAAGCTTTTTTCCCATAGGAATGGAAACTTACTTGGCTTAGTGAAGTTATTGGCAAAGTTTGATAGTGTCATGCAGAAAAACAATTAGTTGCAAAATCATTATTTAAGTAACAGGATTCAAAATAAGCTAATCATAACTATGTCAAAAAAAGTGCAAACTGTAATTGTTCATCGTCTGAAGGTGGCAAAATACTTTGCCCTCATATTAGATTGCACTCCAGACTTGGACCATAAAGAGAAAATGACTGTAATAGTACGTTTTGTCGAATCTTCAGAAAGTTCTGCAACAATTAAACAACTAAAAAAAATTTTACGATTAAAGTATATTTTATGGGCTTCTTGGTAGCTGAAGATCAAACAGGTAAAGGTACTTACACAATTAATTATTACCTTTCTGACTGAAAACGACATTAATATTGATGACTTGAGAGGAAAAGGATATGATAATGGACAGCATTATAGGAAACAGAACCCATTGGTTTTCTTCTCTCCGTGTGGTGCCCATTCATTTAATCTCATTATCTTCAACGCTTGTATGCATTTTTCTTAGCATCACCACATAAATAGACAATCATGGAACAAAGTGTTGGAGTTGCAATAAAGAAATGGAGTGAGACACGCTGGGAAACTTGAATAGAAAGTGTAAAAGTTGTTAGGTACCATTTACCTGAAACTTGAAGACACTGGAAGAATTAGAAAACTCAGCAAGTGATTCGTTTGCCTTTGCTGAACTGAGATCTTTGACAAATGAACTATCATCATATGCCTTCATCTCAAAGACTATGATATGGTATGAACTCCTGCTGCAGATTAATATTGCAAGCAAGTATTTGCAGTCTAAAAATGTGGATCTTTGATTAGCTATGCAATATATCAACAATTGTAAAGGAGCTCTCAGTGCTCTTAAAAATAATTTTGACAGTTTGTTAATTGAAGCTCAGAAAACTGCAGCTAGCTCTTAAATTGATACTGAGCTGCCTCAACCTCAAATGAGAAAAATCAAAAAACATCTCTCTACAAATCAGCTGAACAAACACAGTTTCCACCAATAGAAAATTTACGGATTAACTTCTTCAATGGTACAACAGAAGTAGCCATACATAGATTGTATGAAAGATTCACTGAACTGAATCATTTGTGTGGAGCATTTGGGTTCTTTTTTAATATTAAGACTGTTGAAAAGGAAAGGTTAAGGACTAGTTGTGAAGGATTAAAAACAAAACTAGGTAGAAAGGGGAGAAGTGATATTGACAGCCAAGAATTTTCCACGGATATTATTAACTTACTACCAGTTGATGTGGTATCACCAATTAAAGTGCTTCAATATATTACCAAGAAAAATATGAACTTTGTATAGCACTTCGAATTCTACTGACAATTCCAGTCACTGTTGCTACTGGGGAGAGATTTTTCTTCAAGCTGAAATTAATTGAGACATATTTTAGAACCACCATGTTACAAGAGCAACTCAATGATCTAGCAATACTGAGCATTAAACATGAAATAAGCACTAGTCTAAAGTACGAGGAAATAATAAGAGAGTTTGCAAGAATTAAGGCTAGAAAGATTGCATTGTAAATTTGGAAGAGTATGTCAAGTTTTAAAAGTTTTTTCTTGAAATACAGTAATAATACTACATTGCAATAATATACATCAAAATTGGTAAAAAAAAATTGTGGTTGGGAGCCCCACACAAAAGTCTGCCTGGGGCCCCAAACTAGGTTTGGCCGGCACTGATAATGGTAAATCAATAGAGAGGGATAATCTTACTCATGTATTCAAATTATTATCAAATGTTCAACAAAGATTAAAGGTGTGGTATACTAATGTATGAAGCCGCTTTAAAAAGAACAGTTCAAATACACGCAGTCTATGAAAGGCCTTTTGTTGACAAACAAACAAACCACTAAAAGTTCGCAGCTTGCTAACCAAGATCTGATATTGCCTATCAAAATGTGGTGTCACATTTTATGGACCAATGAACCAAAATTTTTTAAAATGGAAACATATATGTCCAGCATAGTCACCTGACCTTAAGCTTATTGGGGAGACGTTAAAAAAGCAGTTTTTGCTGCTAATCCAATTATGGTTCCAATTTGGCAAAACTCGTATGTGCTAAATTTGTCTACTTTATGCTTAATCCAGTAAGTTAAAGTGTTTTGGGGTAAGACTTAACTTTTTGGCAACAAAACTGTTGAAATATTAATTTTGTGAAATATTAATTTTGATTGTATGAGCTGCCTTCTTTCTTGTATATGTCATTATTACATTGCATTTTGTTTAATTTTTTATTATATTTTGAAATTATATTCGAATGGGGTTTTTGTCAGGGGGATCAAAAAATCATTTCAGGTAAACAAAATTTTGAAAAACTGTAGAATAAAATAATTAGTGAACAATTTCATGAGTTTGTTAAAAAAAATAACAAGAAATTAGTTTTATATTCTTAAAATTAAAATTTATATTCTAAAATTACATTTATGGTAACAGCAAGTTGGTATACTTAGCAGATATTTGTAATTATACTTACAACAGAAGTTGGTATACTTAGCAGATATTTGTAATTATACTTACAACAGAAGTTGGTATACTTAGCAGATATTTGTAATTATACTTAGCGGATATTTGTGTATTTGGTTTATACTTAGCGGATATTTGTAATAAAGTAAATAGCAGATACCATCTAATTAAAAATGATTTAATTCTTTGTCTAATTTGATTTAATTCTTTGTCTGATTTAAATCTTTTTCTTTTTAATTACTTTGTCTGATTTAATTCTTTATCTAACAAAGTAGTATCCTAAAAATTTATAAACTTCCATGAAATAAAAGTATTATTTTTAAAGAATTATATATTTGAAATGGCGTGTTTTGTAGCTACACCAAAAAATACTTTGTAATTTAGTGTCAAGAAATGTGATTTTATTTAGTTCAATTAAATTCGTTTGTAAAACTGAAAAAAAGACCTTCTTTTGGCTAAGGTGTTATACTGGGATTAATTCTATTTTGTTATGTTTTACTTGTAAAACATATATATATATATATATATATATATATATATATATATATATATATATATATATATATATATATATATATATATATATATATATATATATATATATATATATTATCAATAGCTAACATATCAGACGAAAAATTGAAAAAATAAACAAAAGATTTTAAAATATAAAAATTCTTTTTTACAAGCTCAACAAATAAAAGTTAAAAAATTTTATGTTGCAAGAACATAAATGTTTTAAGATTACGTGAACATTTACAGTCGAAAATTTCCACAATGTTAGTGTAACAACAGAGCTAGTGATGCAAGCTAAAATTAGAAAAAAAAAGTCAAAAAGATCTAAAATGGCAAACTTGGCGGTGTAAATGCACTATTTTTTACATTTAAAAATAGTTTCAAGGCTCATTACAGCCCAAGTTTAAATAAATATATTTTTATGTTGGTTTTAGTCACTACAAATAAGAACAATGAACATTGAAATATTGAAAGTTTAAAACAAAAAGAATGATTTTTTATAAAAACATCAATGTTTTCCTACAAAAAATATTTTCACATTATTTTTCACATTTGTGGAAAAAATATTTTCATATTTAGATTCTACAATGTTCAGTTGGTCTGAAATAACAAAAATATTAAAATTTTTTTTTAATCTTTTACCTAAATAATTCCAGAACAAATCTTAGTCAAAAATCTTAGTAAAAAATAATTTGTGTAAAAGTAAATAGTAAAAAAAGTAAATAGTAAAAGTTGAAAAAAACTAATTTTTTTCAACTTTAAAAAGAATACATTTAAAAACTGAATAAAACCACGTTTCTTAATATTAAACTGCAAAGTATTCATACTTTGTATATAAAGTATATAAGAGTTATGACTTTTAACTTTGTCATAAATCGATGAAATAAAACATTTGAATAATATAGAAGTACAAAAGCATTTATTTTATTACAATTGCTTTTCAGAAACATATTCAAGTATTATTTTTATTTATGATTAAAAATAATACATATATACGAATAATGCTTCCACTATTGAAAGAAACAAGACAATCTGGATGAAGAATCTTACACAATTTAACAAATCACATAAAAAAACAACAACTTGCTATTTCCACTATCTCCTCCTGTTGATCTGCTATCTACTCCTGGGAGAATCCAGCAATAAAACACAAGAACGCATAAAGTAAAATATGAAAGAAGTAACGATTTTATAGCAAAAGAATATTTTTCACATCAACCCTGTATTGCATAAATTAAGAAAAATATGGAAATTAAAAATTATTTGTTTGGAATTATAATAATTTATTATGTGTTAATATAAATCAAAAAAAAAAAAAAAAAAATTCCCACATGTTGGGGGATTTTAGGGTATGTTAATTTAAAGCAACATTATGCAATAGAGGAAAAACAAAAAAATTTAACATAATTTTTTTCTTTTTAATTACTTTAGAATCTCTTTAAAACAGTTAGATTTAGGTGTAAAACACAAATGTACTTTACATTTATCAAAACATTAGGGATGCCATCGCACCCAGGTTTTTACATCGGGCTTTTTTTTTCGCTAAAGACAGGCCAGTGATCAATTCTACAAGTTCTAGCTGAAAATTTAGGAACTAATGCAACAGGACCTTTTTTTCTTTTTGCAATAAGGAGATTTTCAACTGTTTTTGATGAAAGACCTCTTTAGTTTTTCACTATAACTTTTCCGGCTTTTATCAAATCGTTGGCTACTTTTAATTTGAATACTCTTAATTAAAAGATATCTTTCTTTAAAGCATTAGATTTTTTCATATCCTGACAATAAATTATTCAAGCTTGGACAATTATCATATCTAAAAAATGCCAAATAAGTTTATAGTACCATTTCTTTGATCGTATTTGAATTCTTATAAGCTTAATAGACAATCTAATAAGTCAACTCCTCCCATAAAGCTGTTGTATGTTGAGACGATAGAAGGTCTTGTTACATTTATTTTCGATTTTGTCTTGCGATCCCATCGCTGAACAGTAGATAGTGGGTTTACTGCCACATAGGATGAAAGTAATGTTACCCCCCTATTATCGAACCACTTTACGACACGCAGTTCAACGTTGTCAACATTTGTGGTCAACAAGGTAGCTAATCCTCTCCCTTGTTTTTTCATAACTTTATCTGTTGGTAATTCTATATTTTTTAATCGATTAGAACGTACAGTTCCAACACATGCAATTCTCTGTGTAAACAGTGTTTTGACTGATTCTAAACTAGTATACCAGTTATCGAAGTATAACTTATGCCATTTTTGGCTTGAGACATTTACTAATAAATTTATTACAATGTTTCCTGATGCTTTTAAATCAGGTTGCCCAAGACACGCATCAATAGGGCCAGTATGAATTTCAAAGTTGTGTACAAGACCATATACTCCTGATAAAACATAAATCTTAAATCCCCATTTTTTGGGTTTCATTGGGTTGTATTGTTTAATAGATAATTTACCTTTATAAGGAACAACCTGTTCATCAACGCATAACATTTCTTCGTGTTTCAGTTTTGAAAAGGAGTCTTTTAACATATTAATGATAGGTTCCAACGTGTATAACTCATCTCCATGATTATTGTAAAATTTATTATTTTCATTGCAATGAAAAAATAACTTGATTTGATCAAATCTGTTGAGTCATAACTTCTCCAATTTTTTCAAAGTATAACTCCTTACTCCAATACATTCTGGTCGATGACATTTGAACAATGCTCATAACATATAAAATTCCGATAAATTGTTCAAGTTCATTTTTATCGAGCTGAAGTGGTTTGTTAGGATTCTTTTGAATAGCATATTTATAAGATTCATCGACAATTAATTGCAACATTTGGTCACTTAAATAACGTTTTACATACTGAATAGGCTCAACAATATCTAAATCACCGTCTATTTCATTATCATCCTGATATTGAAGAGTTTTTTTTAGAATATCCTCTGGATTCTCTTTCTTCCATACTAAATCAGATTGATCATCCCAGACTTCATCTTCTGTATCAGTTAATATAATTTCTTCATCAGTTTCACTATATAAATTGTCACATTCTACAATTTCTGGATTTATTTCTTCATCAAAGTCTGTAAACAAATCACTATCATCTGAAATTTCTGGAATTTGGACTGGAAACTTTACAGGAGCATGATTAAGTTTTGACTTAGGTTAACCTTCATAAAAGCATTTAACATTCATCTATATAAAAAAATTGCACAAAACTTTACTAAAATATTTCAAAATTACACAATTCGTAAATATGTTGTTTTTAGGGTTTTATTTTAATCTAGAATGCATGGTGTTGCTTTAAAGCAGCAAACACATTTTTTAGGTCTATACCTTTATAACATGTGTAAATGAAACCTAAATGCTTCTAAAACATAATTGTAATCTTTAAAATATATAACTATTTTTTATTTGTTATAAACTTGTTCCAAAATATAAAAACAAATTCATTAAAGTTAGACAATATAAAGTGAGCCGTTTTTTATAAACTAGTAATTTCATGTGTTTCGAAAAAGGTAATGCATATTTTAATCGCTAAGTGGTCACCACTGATGAAATTATAACTGGATAGGTTTCAAAATATAACTGGATAGCGTATACGGCAAACTTTTTGAAGCCAGTTTTGGCCTTCCAAGATGGCGGCGTATTTAGTTGATTACAAATTGAAAAAAATAGGTTTTTAAATGAAAATAAATGTATAAGCCTCAAATACAAATATAATTTTCGATTTTACATAGCAAATATTTTAACAAGAAACGCAGTAATTCATATTTACGTAAATTTCTAAAATATATATAATATTTTGTTTAAAATATACTCTTAAAAATTAGTTTGTTTAATATCTTTCTTTTTTATATAAAAATTATTTATTTAAATAAGGAAAACTAAATTAAATGAAGATAAAAATTTTTAGTTAAATAATTAAAAATTAGTTTATTTAACATAAGTAAGAACGCACTAGAAACTAGTATTATACCTAGAACCTAATAGTTAACTATTAGGTTCCACTAATATATATAACTAGTTATAACCTATTAGTAGAAGTAAAAAACAAATAAAACCTAGTAGCTATCTTTTTCAAAAGTTTTTTAAACAACTTTAAATGTGAAAAACCGAAATATTTTAATTTTTTATTTATATTTCATTTATTTATTTTGTTTTAATTTTAGTTTTACCATAAAATAATTGTTTAATATTGTTTTTTATACAATTTTTGTACCTTTTAGTTCTTAACTACCCAATGCTGTGTGCTAGAAGATTAATAACACAACTGCATGGTAGGCAGCTGAATATCTTTTTAAAATAAACTATTATAAATTAGTTTTTCAAATAGATATCACAAATTTACAAATGCTGCATCAACTATTAGCTGAGCTCTGTAAGTACACACAACTCAGAGGCTCCTTCTAGAGTTTTATATATATGTATATATATATATATATATATATATATATATATATATATATATATATATATATATATATATATATATATATATATATATATATATATATATATATATATATATATATATATATATATATATATATATATATATATATACATATAAATATATATATATATATATATATATATATATATATATATATATATATATATATATATATTTATTTATATATATATATAATTATTTGTATCTTGTTTTTTATTTGGTTGTACTCTACTAGAATCACTAAACATGTATATATATATATATATACATATATATATATATATATATATATATATATATATATATATATATATATATATATATATACATATATATATATATATATATATATATATATATAAATATATATATATATATATATATATATATAAATATATATATATATATATATATATATATATATATATATATATATATATATATATATATATATATATATATATATATATATATATATATATATATATATATATATATATATATTAGGGTAGGTCGATTTTAGCTTTTTGTTTAAATTTTGAGTTGCGTAATGTTGCAGTTACTGTGTCTAGGTTAGAAATGAGGCTTTACCGAATCTCAAGTATTCTGGTTTGAAAATGGCTTGCGAATTTGCATTTCAAGTCTTAATTTTGGACTAGTTTTGTTAGATTGTTTATTTCAAATGTTGCAAAATTTTATTTCAAGTCTAGTAATCTCGTTTTAAAATATCTCGTTTTGAGTTTATAAAACAAGCTCATTTGTTTTAAGAAGCCAATAAAGTTTCGCTAAAGTTTTTCAATAAAGTTTACACGCATTTAAACTTTTTATATTTAAATTTTTTGTTTGTATTTTAAAGTTAGTTTTAAAGTTAAATGAATTTAAAAGTAGGTTCAAAAATAAAACTGCAATTTAAAGAAATCTTTTAATATCAAAGGTAAATACATATGGTTATTATATCTAGAGTAATGTTTTAAACTGTTTATATTACATAAGTTTTGATTTGCAATTTCTGAAGTAGATTAAAATATAAAACTTTTCGATGGAACTAATGGTTTTACTCAATTCCTGAGTTCCCTGAATTCATGGCCCCCGAAATTTTTCAAAAGAGTTTTGTTTCTTTATTTCATTATCAAAGCAGGATTTTAATAGTAAGTTTTAATATTTTAGTTTTTTTTGATGCTTTGGCCCCCACTAAAAACTCACGCCGTTGCCCATTACTCTAAGTGTAATACTTTAATACAGTTTATATAATTAATCTACAAAAATGCCGAAAGTAAAGGTTGCAATTACACGGATGAAAAGTGAAAAAAAGTATTGTGGCGGCCCATGCGAACTATCAACGACAGATCCAAGGACTTTTAGACAGGTTATTCAGTATTATTACTATCTTATTCATATAAATCCAAATGCAGATATCGTATTAGTGACTCAGCAAATAAGCAATAATATAAAATCAATTTGGGCTACAGTAAACCCAAGATTACCTCTTATAACTGACAAATCTATTAATAGGAAATTTAAAGATCTTCTCGTACTTGTTAAGGATATTAATCGCAAGCACGGAAAAGCAAGCGCTAAAAGAAATCTTGATGCAAACTTGGATAAACTTTTTAATATTTCTGCGTGTTCCTGTTCATTAGATGTGTTTCCCTGTAGTGACAGAAAAGTTTCATGTAATAAAGAAAATTGCATCGAAGAACATATTGTATGCCTTCGTTCTCAAAGTAATAAAGTACCTCTGGAAGACAGAGCTTATCTTCGTGATCAGAGGAAAAAAATTAGTCCAAAAGGTGCATATCAACTTTCTTCCGTCGATAGATTATCTGTCAAAAGGATTCAAAGACTTGATAAAGAACGACAAAAAATATCTCATAAGCTAGTTAATGAAGATGAATCCCTCAAAACACAAGTAAACTTAATTGAAGAAAGAAGTGATTTGACCAATACGGAGGTAAATATTTTATAAATACATGAAATATTTGTAACAGATGAAACAGAAAGCGTTTTATTTTATTAACTCTTTTTAGGATGAAGGTGAATGGAAACCAGTAAATAATCCTATTGGAAAATACAACTTAGTTAAACTTCCAAGATTTGCAATGGAATTAGTCAGAAATGAGTGTTCGTCAAACGTAGGTGCAGCCCTTGCAAATGCTTTACTACATGACATAAAACATCTCTTGAAAAATGACGTTGATATTAAAGATATTTTGATTGACAAATGCAAGTTAGATAGGGCCAAGTCAAAAGTAAAAATCGTTAGTGAAGAGGTGGACTCAGAGCAAAAAAAACAGTTAATTTATCTTGGGGTTGACAGCAAGCTCGATCAAATAACTAAAACAAGTATAGTAATAAACTTACCTCAAGGAGAAGTACTAAAGAAATGCATTGAACCTGAACATCACCTCACATTTACTTATAAAGATGGAAAATCGAGTGGAAATATTTGACTCATAGGACGATTCCTGTCACCGGTGCTACAGGTTTAGTTCTTGCTACCAAAACGTTTAGTGTTTTACAAGAACATAACAGTTTGGATAGTATACAAGCTGTTCTTCTTGATAATACTGCTACCAATACTGGACCAATAAGTGGCTTAGTGGTAAAACTAGAAGAGTTTTTAAAAAGAAAACTACATCTAATTGCATGCGCATTACATCAAAATGAACTTCCGTTACGGGCTCTTTTTGTAAAACTTGGTGGTGACACAACTGGGCCAAGAAGCTTTAGTGGTCTACTTGGCAAAAGATGTGCTGAAAATATTCAGGGTAAAAATCAAGTTTTGTTTAATCGTATTGAAAACCCAATTGTAGATGGATATATTCTAAAAGAAATACTAGTAGACCTTAGTTGCGATCAAAGAATTTTATTTGATTATTGCAAAGGAATAGGCTTTGGTAAAGTTTCTGATAAATGGGCCGCCTATAAAATTGGACCACTTAACCATGCAAGGTGGTTAACTCTAGCTATTCGCCTTCTCTGTTTGTATTCTAGAGACAATCAACCAACTGTTTCTTTAAAAAAACTTGTATGTTTTATTGTTCAGGTTTACGCTCCAGCGTGGTTCGATATAAAAAATCT